ACATTGTGAAACCAAAAGAAAGCATGGTATTTCCAACAGTGAGCATGGTATAAGGAGCAAATTTCCCTTTACTAATTAGGCTATCTTCCAGAGAACTGACACCCTCAAATGACAGAGCTTTCAGATTGCTCACAATTGCTCCCTCTCCCACAATTAGAACACTCTGTGATATTCCTCACCCTCCCTGCTTTGCTTGAAGAACTCCTCCTGGGCAGCTATTCAGGCTGCTTACTCAAGCATGCTCTGCTTGACTGGTTAACTGCTGTGGAGACCTATTGGTTACCATTCTTTTCTAGCATCCCAAAAGGACCTGGGGGAGGAGGGAGGGCCTCACAACTGTCATCCTGCCTCCTTAAAGAGGCTGAGTTCTGAGGATCTCGGTTCAAAGCCAAATCTGGGCAGAGAAGTCAGTGAGACTTTTATCTCCAAGCAACCAACAACAAGCCAGAAGTGGAGATGTGGCTCAGGTGGTAGAGTGCCAGCCACCTTTGAGCAGAAAAAGCCAAGGAGGAATGCTAGGTCCTGAATTTAAGTCCTAGAACTAGCAGGAAAGAAAAGTCACTAGAAAGAACTCCACGACAAATCTTTCCATCCAAAATGGCACGCTCCTGGCCTTGTCAGAACGCTGCCTGAGGGGCAGGGTCCACAGCAGCCCCGAAAGAGGAGCAACCATGGCCCTTCACCCCTATCCCCAAAGGTCAGGCAATTTTCTGGAATGGGAAAAATCCCATGAATGCCCATTTGATCAGCATGTATTTAAAATACCGTTATCATAGTTTTTGTCCTACAATAGCTCTTACCTGGTTAATATTTATATCCTCTCCCCTTTAAAAAATAAATGTGTGCGTGCGTGTGTGTGTGTGTGTGTGTGTGTGTGTGTGTGTGTGTGTAAGATATCCTATGTCAGTACTCGGAACTTCCCCAGACAACACTTTTCTGATCTAGAGAATGGCCAAACCCTGCTGTTTATCAGCAGATATTAACTGAACACCTTCTCTGGGCCAGAGAAGTACTTGGGGCACTTACACAAGGTGTCAGCCCAGAAGCCTTCTCCCTCAGGCTTCACAGGCTCTTGTCCTAGACAACACTAGGCCATGTAGTAAAGGCAGCAGGTGATCAGCCCCTACCCCTATCCCTGAGAGAGCGCTCTATTGGGACAGCTATGACTATATAAGGCAGGGAGAGCCCCAAATCTTGGAGATAATAAAAGGTCACCTGAGACTATAGCCGGCACTTCTTCTCACTTCCTCTCACCTGTGAGATGGGGTCTTGGGCGTCCCCTTCCTGGCAGTGAACCTTTCCCTTGTTCTGCCTACCTGGATGTCCGCATGATTTTCTAACACAAGGCGTAGATCCCCACCTGAAGAATCTCTCACAGACAGACTGATTCTGGAACATCTTCCATGTGCTGCCGCTGTAAGGTGCTCTCACGAGGGTCACGTGTGAACTGCTCACAAAAATGTACTGCCCTGAAAGATGCCCCATTTATTGTACATTTTATTTTTAAAGGTAAGAAGTAAACAGAGGTTCAGAGATGTTAGATAACTGGCCTAGGAAAACAGAGCCCAGGGCCGGGCCTGGTGGCACCGGCCTGTAATCCTAGCTACTGGAGATGCAGCCATGGGGCTGGGGTGGGAGGGAGACCAGCTGAGGCCAAAACAAGTTTTATGAGACTCCATCTCAACCAACGAGGTAAGGCGAGGTGGCACACGCCCGCTATCCTGGCTTCTGGGAAGCACAATGTCTAGGCACAGTGTCAAGGGCCAGTCAACCCCAGTGACACAATGAAGCACAAGCAGGAAGATGGCAGCCCAGGCCTAAAGCAAGACTCCATATCGGAAAGAACCAATGCAGAAAAGGGCTGGAGGTGTGGCTTAAGTAAGAAACCTGCCTGGCACGCCCAAAACCCTGAGTTCAATCTCCACCACCACCAACCCCCCCCCTCCCCAAAACAAGCAGACAGCAACACCTACCTGCTCCGAAGATGGCTTTCCATTTAGCCACAAGGCCTTGAGTCGGCCCTGACCTCAGCTGGCTGATACAGAGGAACAGCCCCGTCCTGCTCCACTGAGTGCGGAACACAAACTACAGCACTGGCCACAGGGAATACTCCTCGATACAGTGTAGCTGCCATAGCGAAGTGTTTTACTATACATCTCTTTGAGTTGTCTTCCCGAAGCTGGTTAAGTTTCTTCAGTGCAGACATTCATGTTTTCATCAACTGGTAAGTTTTCAGCCATTATTTCCTTACTCTTTGAGCTCTCTCCTCTTCTGGAAATAATTTAGACAGGCATTGTTTAATTTGATGGTATCCCACAGATCTTTGCAAGTTTGCCTAAGCCTCTTTATGCCTGGGGACACATCCTGCCTCCGAAATCTGGAGGGAAAATCATCTCAATGCACCCTCTTTACTGGAACGTTCCGGTGGGGCCTGCCGAGGGACCTGTCTGAGGTCCATGTCCAGAGGCCGTGGGGACAGCTCTTTACCTGAACAGCTTTGTGAGTTCCAGCTTCTCTTTATCTAACAGTTAAGGAGAGAAATCGATATCACTCAGAATGCAAATGGATTATGCCTGAGAAAGCCAGATAAATCTGTTTGAAGAAACTCTTAGGGGGGAGTTTATGTTATCACAGTGATTATTTTCTAAGCTGAAGCGTGAAAGAATTGCTGAAGTATGCTGCTATCTGACGCATGCTCAAGAGATTTAAATCTAATATATATATATATATATATATATATATATATATATTCATATATAAAGAAACACAGGCCCAGACGATTCTTTAGAGATGACAGGCACATTCCTTTATTGAGTAAATACTTGCAGTCTGCCCTTAACACCCTCAGACTCAACGATTTCACCACAGATCCAAACTATCAGGAAAAAAATGTGTTTGTGGCAAACACAGCAGACCACCTAAACAAGACACTGGATTAGGTAGTACAAGTAATGTACAGATGGCTGGCAGGGCACGAGAGCATTGTGTAGGTTATATGCATACTAGAGGGTCTGGAGTACTGATGCACTTGGGTATCTGCAGGGGGGCTGGAGACCAATCTCCCAAGGGCACGGAGGAATGACAGGTCTCAGGTCTCAGCACCTGCTGTGTAGGAAGCAGGGCTGGGACCTGGGGAAATAGGAGTGAATGAGGCAGGCAGGGCCCCAAGCTCTCAGGAAACTGACATTGTGGTTGGGATAGGCAGTAAACTACTGTACAAAGAAATAAGACAAAGAGAAACAAATATAAATTGCTAAAGTGTCAGAAAGGGAAGTGTATAGTATCATATAGATATATATAGATATATATAGATATACACATACATACATATATCACACACACACACACACACACACATATTCAGGGTGGTCAAGGAAGGCCCTAGCAGACAGTACCAGGCTGAAATCTGAAACGTGCTTAGGTTTTTTTTGAAGGGATTAGGGCAACAGGGAATACAGCTGGGCAGGAATGGAGAAAAGGACCCTGGGACCAGGATGTAGTGAGGGACTTGGGCTTGTACGTACACAATGGCTGGAGCTCACTGAAAGAACATGGTGGGGGGTGTGGAGGACATTGTAAAAGCAAGAGGCAGCTTCAGGCACAGCATGGGGTAGGGAACAAGGTCCAAACTGCTCTTTTAGAAAAATCCACTGGAGTATGAAAGAGAACAAAGGGGAAGCAGGAGACCAGTTAAGAGGTGACGTCAGCAATCCAGATGAGAAAGAAATGGTAGCAGTTCGGACGAGGGTGGTAACAAAAGAAATAGAGAGGTCGCTGGACACCCAGCCAGTCGGGAGACTGAGATATGAGAATCAAGCTGCAACTCTAGCCTGAGCAGAAAAGTCCTAGCAACGCTATCTTGACTTAACCAGCAAAAAAGATGAACTGGAGGCATGGCTCAAGTGGTTGAATCCCAGTGAAAATAAGCTAAGCAGAAGCTCAAAGCCTTGAGCTCAAACAGAGAAGGAGAAGGGGGTGGGGGAATGGAGGGGAGGAAAGAGGAGGAATGAAGGGAGGGAAGGAGGGAGGGGAGAGGCAGACAAGACTCATAGAGGAGAAGGAATGGAACTTCCAGCTTTCTGTCTTGAAGAACGGGATAGTACTGGCATTTAAAAGAGGGGTGAACTTGCCTCAAATAATGAGGATTTATTTCTTGAGTATATTTAAGAGCACAAACCTGAATTGCCATATCTTAAGTCAAACATGAAGAAGGGAGGAGGAGGAGGGAGAAGAGGAGCAACAGAAACAGAGGAAGAGAAGCAACAGGGAGTATGAGGAGGAGGAAAAAGAAGAGAAAGAGAAGGAAGATGAAGAAGAGGAGAAAGAAGAGCAGGAGGAAAAGGAGGAGAAAAAGAAAGAGAAGTAGAAAAAGAAAGAGGAGGGGAAAACAAAGGAAGAGGAGGAGGGAGACTCCGTTTCAGTTCCCTTTTTTCAATTAACTCTGTACCTGTCTGGCTCAAGGTGAGAGGGCGGAGCTCTGGCTCTGTGCAGCCTGAAGGGGAGGAGACACACACTCTGGTCCATCTTTCTCCAGCAGGATCAGGCATTCTGGGCATCACGATGCACTCCCGGGGGCAGTGTTTACCTGGGACATCTTCCAGAAGTGCGCCGCCGCAGAACCTTGCTATAAAGTTAAATTGTGTGAAACCAATTCCGTGTGTGAAGGAGGCGAGAAAGTAGCTCACACATATTAAGAGCAAAATGGGCACAATCTGTTCCCCATCTTTAAGGCACTATCAGTTCCAGAAGGCAGTGGAAGGCTGGGTGGATCACTTAGCCTGGGTCAGGTGCACTAGCATCCTTCCCAGGTGACCTTTGCATTCTGGCCAGGTTTATGACCCACGGGCGGCTACTCTCAGTTAAGTTGACACAAAATGGCAGCTACTCATAAGATATGATGACTATCTTGTTAGGCCAAGGCTCTGTTGCTTGAATCACACCTCAAGCTCAATCCACTAAGAAATAAACATATTGTCTCCAGACTTTGTGGTCGCCTGAATTTTATTTTTTTTATAAGATTTAAAGGGAAACATTTTTTTCCACTTATACCAAGGGGGGAAAAAATGCTAAAAAGGGGGGATGACAGAGAATGCAACACAGATAGATTTCTTCTGCTTTCCGATAATCTCATATCAAGACATTTGGCTGGAATAACATCATGTTTGATTTACAGACAAAAGACCCCAAGTGGCATGCAGAAGGGCCAGGGTACGCCCCGGGGAGGGCGGAGAGCACGCATCGCATGAGTGAGTGCAAGGCCAGGGTCCCCTCCCCAGCTGCAGATACATCTTCAGAGTACGTGTCAAGCTTGATGGTATAACAGCTGTACATTTCCAACAGTTCTTAGAAGTATTTCAGTAGACAGACACTCCAGAACACGAGGCGAAGGCACCGGAGATTGTTTACTTAATGTTCTCAGGGACTAAAGATCTTTCCCCAGTATTAAAAAAAAAATCAGTCTTCTGACAGCAGTAACACCACACACACACACACACACACACACACACACACACACTATTCTCCCTTATAGACTACAATGTTGTTGTCAGTTTCATACACTTTGACCTTATAAAGAGCTCCCTCAGGAAGCAATTTCTGGAGATTTTCCCAGATGAACACAGCCACATTTTCGGTTGTGCTGTACAGAGAAAAGGAAAAAAGTAAAGAAGTTCAAGGTGCATGTTAAGAAACCAAATTTCTTGTTGAATATTTACAGAGAACAAATTCTGACTGAAAAGTATCACTAGACTAAAAATTTGGTCACCCAGCAATCAGATGAAATGTTAGCTCTGCGATGCCCACCTTACAGTGTCCGCAAAGTACGCCACGTCCAGGTCCAGGTTCTTGTGATCGAGGGGCTCCATGATGGCCTCCTATGGGCAGAACAGAGCCACCACTCAGCATGCAAGGCCCCTAAGTCTCTGAACCTTACCTCATCCATAGTTGGGACTCCATGCCATTCAGTGTTCTCTCTGGGACCAATAAAGCAGGCCTACAAGGTTTAGAGCTGCAAAATCAAGTCTGCCACAGCTCCCCGTAATGCTGAGC